TTTTGTTTTGAGATGGAGTCTTGCTCTGTTGCCAGGCTGGAGTGCAGTGGCACGATCTCAGCTCACAGCAACTTCTGCCTCCCAGGTTCAAGCATTTCTCGTGCCTCAGCCTCCTGAATAGCTGGGATTACAGGCGCTCGCCTCCACGCCTGGCTAATTTTTGTATTTTTAGTAGAGACGGGGGGTTTCACCATGTTGGTCAAGTTGGTTTTGAATTCCTGACCTCGTGATCCGCCCACCTCGACCTTCCAAAGTGCTGGGATTACAGGTATGAGCCACCATGCCCAGCCTATAGCAGTTTTAAAAAGGCAGATTGTTGCCTACATCAAGTTTCACTTGATGTGGGCTACATTTTAAACCTTTAAAAGTTATTTCTCTAACTTATTTTTTTCCCTTAAACATTTGCACCGTTGAATAGTTGAAGACTTGTATCAAGTCAATTTAAGTGAATATAGCAGAATCAGATCAACATGATCTAAACAGCTCTTAACTGGCTGAATCAATGACAGCTTTTTTTTTTCTTTTTTAAGGAACACCTTTTTCAGAAAGAAGAGAGTGCTCCATTCTACCAGCTGTTTCTGTAGCAATGCTTCCCTTAGGTGGTACTAATGAGCTATGGGCTGCTTTTACAGAATAGTTTTCTTCCCAGATAATTCAAGGTTTAGAAGAGCTGCCCCCAGTTAAGCAGTTTAAACGATAGTCTTCTTTACTTTACTCTGAAAAACATTCTCTTCTTTTTAGGCCTAAATTCTACTTACATTGATCATGAAATTACATAGATTCCAAATATCTAACTTAATTTTTATTTCTTAACACGTGTCATAAAGTATTTCAGATTACCTCCACAGAAAGCAGGAAGGCTTCGACCTTAATATTATGCCTTATCATAGCTAAAAATTGTCCAGAGATGCTTCCCACTGCGTGTACTTGAATAATAGTTATTGTCTATTGAATGAGTCCTATATGCCTATCACACTAGTGATCATTTCATATGCATTAATTTAATCTTCAACACCATGCTATGTCAGACAATTCTAATATCCACTTTGAAAATAAGAAAACTGACACTTTGAGAGGCTAAATAATTTGACTGTGACTTGTGTACTATTTTTTACCACATTGCTTTTTCTACCAAGTTTACTTGAGAAAAGGCATGAGGACATCTGATCAAGGTACTTCTGTGGGTTCCAGCTTTGAGATGCCGCCTCTGTTCCAAGCATGTAACAAATGCTAGATAAAATACGAGGATAGAAAATGCAAAAGTCACAGCTGGGCTCAAAAACAGTTTGTTATCTCCGTGGCCCAAAAATGGAAATGAAATGCAAGTGATGAGTTGTGACCTACGCTGAGACCTCTGGCCTGCTGGACTCCGGAGGTGGACAGAGGGGCTGGGACAGCGTCTGCGGGGCAATGGGACATGAAGGTTATTGTACACTAGGTGGAAATCCAGAGCCAGCCTCACTTTGAAACCAGGTAGTAGAGGACTCCACTTCTTTTTTTTTTTTTTTCTTTGAGACGGAGTCTCGCTCTGTCCTCCAGGCTGGAGTGCAGTGGCCGGATCTCAGCTCACTGCAAGCTCCGCCTCCCGGGTTTACGCCATTCTCCTGCCTCAGCCTCCCGAGTAGCTGGGACTACAGGCGCCTGCCACCTCGCCCGGCTAGTTTTTTGTATTTTTTAGTAGAGACGGGGTTTCACCGTGTTAGCCAGGATGGTCTGGATCTCCTGACCTCGTGATCCGCCCGTCTCGGCCTCCCAAAGTGCTGGGATTACAGGCTTGAGTCACTGCGCCCGGCCAGGACTCCACTTCTGAATGAAGGATGAAAAATCTGCTGGTCACTATTGCTTGAGACGAGCTTTTGCGAAGCTTGGTGTTTAAGATGGGAAGAGGAAGTCGTTTTAGGCATGGCCCTAAACCACTGAACCAAACTAAACCAAATCCTTCACTAGTTCAGGGATATGACTGGTGATAATCCAGATGTCAAAACAATGTCATAGTCAGGTCAGATATAAAACTGCTTACAAATGTGTGATCCTGGGCACAAAACCATTTTTAAGAGAAGGATGATGAGAGAGAGAGGGGATGGAGCTATATATAAAAAAAAACTAAATAAAAATAATTTAAAAATCATCCCACTTCAAATGAACTTACAAAACCTAATTCCAAAGCGCATGAGGAGACCTAACAGTAAGAAAGACAGCCAACAAAATGGACCATTAAAATGAGTTTTCCCCAGAATATTTAATATATTGAAACAGCCTGGCAAAGTCCAAAGGAATGCCATTGTATTAGTCTGTTCTCATGTTGCTAATAAAGACATACTTGAGACTGGGTAATTTATAAAGGAAAAAGGTTTCATGGACTCACAGTTCCACATGGCTGGGGAGGCCTCATATTCATGGCTAAAGAGCAAAGTCACATCTTACATGAAGGCAGGCAAGAGACTTTTGCAAGGGAACTCCCACATACAAAACCATCAGATCTCGTAAGACTTACTCACCACCACGAGAACAGTATGGGGGAAACGGCCTCCATGATTCAATTATCTCCACCTGGTCCCACCCTTGACACATGAGGATTATAACAATTCAAGGTGAGATTTGGGTGGGGACACAACCAAACCATATCAGTCATCCATAAAGAAACAAAAATGTCAAATTATTATTTATTTACAAATATTTATTAAGATCGTACTGTGCTCCACATATTATTACAGGTGCTAGAAATGCAGAAATGAATAAAAATAAATAAATCCATAGCTACTAGAGGACTTGCATTCTAGTGGGGAGTTTACATTTTAGTGGCAGAAATGAAATAAGAATAGGTGAACAGGAGGCTTCCACTGTATCTGTAATATTTTATTTATTTAAAAGGTGAAGCAAAAGAGCAAAATGCTCATACTCATTAAACCATGGAGAGTAAGTGGGTTTTCACAGTTTAATCCTACATAAGTACCTGTACAATTGAAACGAAAGGACACACAGACCTTTCAGTAGAACATGCATTGTTGGACATAGCAATAATATTTAAAACGTCCAATCTTGCAAGTTCCATGGCCATTTACCTCTATGGCTCCCAACTTGCTTAGGGTAAAACCTTATCACGACCTGTAAGGTCCTGGGGTCTACCTCTGTGGCCTAACTTGCTCATTCACTCTGCCCCAGCTCCTGCCCCATTGCATGCTTTTGTACCTCACAAAATTCAAGCTCATTTCCTTTTATGATGACAGCACTCCTCTTGAATTATCTCTCTTTCAGATACTGGGGAAAATCTTGAAAATTTTCAAATGAAGTCTCAAATGAGGCCTTTGATTTTAGTCATGGAAATAACCCCTCGGTCTTATTTTGCTCTCGATCTAGTGCTTTTAGTAGACACTAATTCACTCAGCTAGATAGAGCTGTATTTTCATGGCACTTGATGGATGTTCCACTTTGCAGTAGCTCATGTCACCATGACCCAGTCTAGAGGGTTGCTGCCTGGGGTTGCTGTAGCCCCCACACTCCCATCAGTATTATGTGCTCAGGCTGAGGGAACTGCAGATGGTACCTGGAAATGTCTTAGGAATGCAGAGTGAGTTATAATGAATAACAGCCAATCTTGGATGCTGAGTTGTTTACGAAACTTTTTTAGGAGGGTTTAATATGTGTTTTAGACAAGAAGAAACTGCTTCTCAATAAGGATGAGCATAATTGTCATTTTGGAAGTTAGTCTTTAGAGCTAAAGCATTCGTAAGTTAAAGTGTAGAGCTTGACTAATCCATGTTACTTTATTTTTAAAAGACAAAACACTATTGCTAGTAATGGGAATATCACTCTGTGTGGGTGTGAACACATATGTTCAGTGGGACTCAAAAAACCCACACAGGGTGTAGAGTTGTCCCTCACTGATTTTGCCCAATTATAGTGTGAATTTGATAATAATTTACCAACACTTTGAAGTCCTGCAGATGCTCTGAAACAGCAATATAATCAGATTTTATTTGAATATCTAATATGACAACTCACTCTAATATCATGGGACTTATTTTGTTCTACCAACATTAAAATGTCACGTTCTAGAAATGTGAAGTTTGTCACCTCATCAAAAATAGACACTAGATACTAGATGGTTAATTTGAATGTATTTAATGACATTGAACTGTACACTTGAGGATTTTAAAGTGGCATAATATGCAGCTATAAAAAACACCGAGATTATGTCCCCTGTAGCAACATGGGGATGGAGCTGAAGGCATTATCCTAACTGAAATAACTCAGAAACAGAAAATTAACTACCGTATGTTCCCACTTACACAGAGATGGAAGCAATAGACCCTTTTCATAACCGCCTTCCCAACCTCTTCCCACTTGTGGAGAGGTTGGGAAGGGGTTGAGGGTTAAAAACTTGCCTATTGGGTAGAGTGGTCACTATTTGAATGATGGGCACAGTAGAAGCCCAAATCCCATCATTATGTGATATATCCATGTAAAAAACATGAATCTAAAAATAAACTAAATTAAAAGAATGGTTAAAATGCTAAATTTTGTGTTTTACTGTATACATTTTACCACCAC